AAACTGGTAATTCAGTTTGATTACAGCAGTGCTCGTCATTCATTTTTTATATACCCCTCCACTGAATCTGTCAATAGATGAATTGTTATTTAGACATGCAGATATTTTTTAACTGAGACAGGTGCATGTTAAGGAACCATTACCGTTAACGTAGACGTCTCAGCCACAAACTACAGTCCGTTACGCGAACTCAACTGAACCGCAGCTTCCTAGCGAATGCCACGTGAGACCTTGCACGTTTGTCATCAATCCGATGTTTGAGGATGACCTGGTAGATAGAGATTTGGGCAAAGCTCATTACTCCTGTATCTTCGCACCATACCAATGCGGTGACATTGCAATGGTTTGCAAAAATACTGCCATAGAACGAATTCCAAAAAAACGTTTGATTTTATCAGTCAGACATTGGGCTTTTACCATATTACAAGCGAGTAATGAAGAATTTAATTCAATTTCAAAGGTGAATTCTTCGTGTATATAGCAAATGAAGCGTGAACTGAAAAGCTAGGAAACACTGGACAGCTGTTTCAACCTGGTTGGGTCTTATCAGCANGCAGTGCGAATCCATGGACCCAACTGGGGATCGAACCATATTAGTTTCGATTTTCATTGATCGACCCGTGTACAAATAAAGATTGTGCAACTTTCGATGGACAATAACTTAAAGGCATACTTATTCAGTTGATATGCGATACACTTGTGGGACATTTCTCTTTATTGTCAGTGATACTTAACTGAGGTAATCATAGAAATACAGTTTATCAGTAGTCTGACGTTCGACCGAATAAACCCTAGTTTACCGGCATAGACCTACAACCGTAATCACGTGCTTCACTCTTAACACTGCAAATGTCCCTTAATCCGATTGCAAAACGAACCCTTTAGTCTAAACGCACATTATCGGACAATCTACAAGCTCAGCGCTTGCTCAGTGAAGAAACAACGCCAGGCTCCAGGGGGAAAGGCAGAAGCCAATGGCGTTGTTGGGGTGACTGAATTCTGTGCGTTGTCCTCACACATATCGACCAGTGCACAGCAGCCCTGTCGCCGGTGCGATTCAAACGCGGCATCTGTGTGAACACCGCATGAACCTGCATGTGATAGGATGAGGTGCATCTGGAACCTAACCGTGCTGGCGGAACGACTGCAGTTGGAGTTTGCCATTCGATAAGACAGACATACACAGAGCGACCATTCGCCTCTTATTGGTTAATGCATATTTGGAGTGAACTGATTGTGTTCATACGTTGAAAGAGCCAATGAAAAGCAGGCGCGCCGAATATGCACGACACGACTGCACCTGCAGACAACCCGTGACGTGTGCGTTTGTCAGGTAAGCCACGGTTGATCGCGGAACCAATCCGGCACTTTGCTGTAGGCGATCCAAAAGCAGACCATAGCAGGTTTCATCAGCCAGTGAGGGTATAGCTATGCGACGGAGTAGTTTGCCTACATATTCAAGAGGCGACCTATCACGTTATTAGTGATGTTGGGTGTTCGCGTGTATCCGGAATATTATTATTAAAATTTTATATCGAAAGAAGACCATTGTCGCGAGATGTGGATATTTCGTTTAATTTTCTTAATCGCTGAGTTAAAACAAACAGGCACATACATAGCACATGCGGGTTGTTCAATTACGATGAATGGACGTGTACAAGCATAGAAAGATGATTAGGAAAAAATCGAAGCGATAATATTTCCATATGCATCCTGTAGAAACGTTATGTGAACGATGTTTTGATTCTTACAGATCATGAACATTGTAAAACACTTTTACAACATTTTAACTCAGTTTATGCCATGAAGTAGACACCAAGAACACTGATGTTTCCAGACATAAAAGTTACAAGGCGAATAAATGAGACATTGCAACGCTCAGTTCACCGAGAAGTGACATGGAATGGTTAATACCTACACTTTTCCAGCTTCTCCCCCATGGGTTTGTGAGAACCCTATTTCATCGGACGAGGAACATTTGTTCTCCAGACACTCTAAAAGAAGAACAGGATTTCCTGAGGAGAACATTGCTAAACAATGGTTACCCACGAGGCTTACAAATATTCACAATAGACCATTCCCAAACTTTTGCAAAAAGGCCATTTGCTTAAGGCTTGAGTTCACAGGTGTTGGCCCAGTGGTAACGTCACCAAATTATCACCCCGGGGATGTGTATTCGAACCCCACCACCACAGCTTGACTTACCCATTGTGTGTGTTGGCTGGCAGCCCTTTGATTGGCCGCTTCCTCCTTCCTGAAAATTGTATCTTTGTGTATTCAATTAAAGGAAGTAAAAATGAAAATAAAGAAGAGATTTACAATGATATGTGCCATAATTTGAGGTCACCTCTAGACCGTACATTCCTAAGTGCTCGAATCCAACCCTTGCCTGTATTCGTGGATTGATTTGAACAAACGNGCTGGCAAACTGGTTTCGTCTCACACAATGTATATCAGTTCACCTGCAGTTGTGATGACGCACATAAACCGTCAGCTCTTACAACGGATGGTCGAACATATTCCAAATTGGTTGGTGAAATCGAAGACGCAATGGATAATTGGTGGTGAAGTGAGTACAAGAAATCCAGGGTCATCTGTCGCGAAACATCTCATGACAGTTGACCCCAGTTCGTCTTTTAGACCACTATTACTTTATCTTAATGCTCAACTACTGGCTATTAGTGAAGCGCTACTTATTCGATTACATTACCCGACCTTAAGAGTACAAACGTTTTTGATACAATCAATCACTTACCGTGGAGGTGACCTTCTACTTCTATCTTTGTATACTTGCACAGATTCATTCACCATAATTGAACAACCCCATGTGCTACATATATGCCTATTAATGTTCTGCTATATTTCACACGCATCTGGGATCAGACTGTACACCAAACAAATCGCGGTGTAAATTAGGCAGCGTTCGCGTCAGTTCGTTGAGCGCCAAAATTACAGGGACGCTCGACTTTCTTTATTCATGTTTGATAATCAGATCCTATCTATGCAACGACCGCTGAAGCTCCGAAAGATCTGGAGAAGTGAGAATATTTGGATGGAGCGTGTAACACAAATATAGCTACAGTGCTCCACTAATATCATTTCGTCTACACCATTCAGCTTTAGCCAGAACCCATAACCCTTTAACTTCGACCCACAGTCGTTCAGCTAAAACCCGTAATGTTTTAACCACGACCTGAAGGCGCACAGACTTCAGTCATACCGCTGTAGGCGAGTCAGATCAAAAATGTATCGCTATATTCTGAAGTCAACGAATATTGAAACATTTTATTTTCTACAAATCTTGAACTTACAAAGATTGATTAAGAAATGAGATGGTTTGGCGGTCGCGTGCTGCACTACATATTAATTTCAGAGAATTCATATTTCCTCAATCTGCTTTCCAGGTAACCTTCAGTACAACAAGGGGACCTTTGGGTGCCGGCATTTCAACATACTCGCCGGAATAACAACCTTCAGAGGTTCTCCGTTATTCTATTCTGGGAACCGGGAGCGAGCAGATCTGAAGTACCCTTTGTACGAAAAGTGACCACACATCCGTGATGCATGTGCATGCAGGTACGCAGTGTTGTCACGTTGGACAGACGCTATCCTACACATTTTCTTTATATTATGACTTTATTTATGACT